TTTTTTTATGCGGTGGATGTGTGTGCGCGCGCCATGTGTGTGTGGTGTGTGCGCGAGTATCGCTGCTTTCGTATCAACGGTGTAATGAGGAGATCGATCCTCCGCGTACACGGTATCGCTTTTTGTCGGGCGCTGTTAAGTGTCGTATCGCGTATTTTGTATACTTTGTCGAGAGAGAGCGACGCCGGCTAGTGACTTTTCTGATACAATACGTTGTTTGACGTACGACACGTTTGACATTAAACTCGCAAATTAATGAGATTCTGCGTTTTCTGTCTAATGTAAAATACATAAAGCGCACAATTGCGGTGTTAGTGAATAATAATTAAAAGATAATTGCTCGCGATCGCAAATATTCGTAATTATTGACCTCACTTGATCGCGGTGTGTATAATGTATATAATAATACCTTGTATTATATATATGATTGTGCCAGTGTGAAGGCTTTTAGCGTTGAACAAGCGAATCTCGTTATTTCGTGAAAAGAGCAATTTGTTGTCGAAATAACTCGTCATTAATTATTATGAATTAGTAACGCGCGCGCGCGCGCGCGCGCACACACACACACACACACACACACACACACACACACACACACACGAGCGCGCGTTGAGTCTGTAAATTAATCAATCGGTACATCGAAAAACCATTCCAGAATTCGGATGCATTCCGAACATTCCAAAGTACACGGCGTGTCGATCTTCCGCCCGCAATAGAAAAACAATTGTTTTTCTCTCTTTGATCGTTGTTTTATTGCACGAGAGATTGAATTTCTCTCGATACTTTGTGTAGTAAATATTATTTTTCCGATATTAATACTGTTGCTACTTAATTTATCACCGATATGTATCTGTGTAATCAATTCGCGATGACACACGATATTTGTAAAAAAAAAAAAAACAAAAAAAAACAATATTCTCGATCGAGTTAAAAAAAAAAAAAAAATTAAATATTTTATATGTGAGATTGTGATTAAAAAGAGCGCTTGAATTGCGTGAAGTGAACAATTCGCAGAAAACGTATTGCAAAAACAACAAGTGTCGATATTTTTCGTGCAACTTCGTCGCGTGCTTCGTGTCCGAGGAGCTAGCGGCGCATGTAAATTGACGGAGTTGGTCGCGAAAAGTATGTATGAGAGAAAAGTTCGCAGGTGCGATCGTGTATATACAGTTGCACACGGATACAGAGTTTCCCCCGATAAATCACGCGTCGCGCCCGATCAAGCCGAAAAGAAAAGCAATTTACATTTCGTTTTCCGTGTCATTTCGTTTCTATCTGCCGGCCGTGTAACGACTGAACGCGAAATCGCGTTTCGTGGCGTTCTTTTCCGGACAGAACGCCACGATTTCTTTATGGACAGGCTTGGAAAAACGATCCGGAAAATCCATCTCTCTCGCAAAATGTGTCACTTGGAAAACAAATGCACTCTCGCTCGCTCTTGCCGCGCGCGCGCGCGGTCTAGTCATCAATATTTATTTATCTGTGAAAAATGTTTAGAAACGGTAAGATAAATTTATAAATCTTAAAAAAAAGAGAGTATATATATATACACGATATCTCCGATAAAACGCGACATTTCACGATTTCTCTGTTTCTTTTTGTGTTGCTACCGCGGAAGAAAGAAAATAACCTTGACTCGTAGAAAGAGAAAGAGAGAGAGAGAAAATCCACATTACATTTTCTAGAACGCAGAACTGTTCAATCACTTACGATACGGAATGCTAGTCTTTTTTTTGTTTTTAGTATCCTTCCAACAATCGGTAGCTGACTCTCGAGCGCAGATAGGGACGAAAGGCTTTGACGCGACAAGAAATAGACACGATTGGGGCATCACCAAGAGTCATTATTGCACTTCGTCGTTCTTTCGCCGACGAAGTTCGGCTGACAAATCGCGCAAGGTCTGATAAAGAGACCACTCACGACCTTCGGTTGAACTGGTCTCGGTTTCGATTCGCCAACCAAAGAACAGCGCGGAGAGATTTGCGGGCATTCATGACGAGCGCACGGAGGAATGCGGAGGTTGCAAGGAGAGATCCGTACAAATAGAAGAGGGGGAGACCGGAGGAAGTGCTACTTTTTTTTTACCATAAATCTTTCTCCATTCTAGTGGACGCGGCGAAGCTATATCTTCTTTCTCGTGGAGGGATCGAAGGGTAACGGGAGCGCGCGTTTATCATGTCCGTCTATTGTGGGCGATTCTTTCTTCGGAGAAACGAGAGTCGTTCCGTTTAAGAGAACGTTGGGTTAGTCTGGTCACAGAGAAACACACACACTCGCTAATAAAACAACAAAAGTGCAGTTACGAGAGAGTCTCCGTCGAGGTAACATCTCGATTTTTCTCAGAATGTCCTCGTTTTAATTCCCTGCATTGAATTTTCTTTTATCAATTCTTTTACGAAACAATCTGCCTGTTCACACGCGCAAGAGTTTTACATTTTTTCGAAGAAAATGTTGGAATTTTATAAAATTCTCGAAATACTTCTGGCAGCTGGTTGTAAGTCAGAAAAATGTATAAAACGATTTTCGTCGTGTCATTTCTAACATAGAGAATTCTTAATCTAACAGTTTTAAGAATTAGAAATTCTTTCATCTATTTCCATGCAAGTTTTATATGGTTTTTTCTCTCTACTTGTCTGTGCTAGAAGAATTTTCTCACCTAGAAACAAAGAATGTTTTTAATTGCGAGAATAGATCTCGCGTGCAAGCTAAATCGACATTTTCAGTGCAATAATGAAGCAAAATTTCGAGGAACATAATTTCACCGTTTTGCGTTGACTTAATTGAAATCCACTTTGTCGCGCGCTTCTCGCTAGCGTGACGTAAACGTTATACGTATCAGCGAGCATTATGGGTTTACGTGACGAGAAGAGCGACATTAAATCTCATGGTGGGAATTAAATTTCGCACACAGAGTTACTTTCTCTTCGTCTCTCTCTTTCTCTTTCTTTCGGTCGCTTACAGTGAACACTCGTCGACGAAGATGTCGACCGATAGTCGTCTTTGTTATTTTCGTGTCGGCGGGAAATTAAGTCGAAGAGAGAGAGAGAGAGAGAAAGAGAGAGAGGGGGAAGACAGTTGTCGAGGTTGAGAAATGCGAGATGTGTCACATTAGCGGGTGGATAAAATGTGTTCGTTGTACGTGCGTTAAAGAGACTATTAGGAATAAGCGCTAAATATATTTCGAGTATTTCGGTATTATCGCGCGCGCGTGCTTTTACTCGCGCTGTTCAGTCAATTATTTTAGTAGACGTATAGAGTTTGCGATATATCTTTTCTTGTTTCAGACAACATAATATTTTATTTACGACTGATAATATTTTATTTTATATTTTATTTTTTATTTTTTATTTTAGTTTATTTTATTTTGTTTTATTTTATTTTATTTTATTTTGTTTTGTAAGTAGTAACATTTTATTTATAATTTTATTTTCTATGTCATTATTTTTCTGATTAATTATTATATAAATAAAACGCGGTTCTCCAAGTCACGAAGACGATGAGGATGTTGTGTCACGCGGTGAGATAAAAGGCGGTAATCTATGAATTACGAGAAGAGAAGAGAGAGGAGTTCGCTAAACGCGCGCGAAAGACATTCGAACCGCGTCCAAATTAGCGAATACTCTCCGGTGAACCATCTGGTCAACCGGAAAGAAGATTAATTTAATTTGCATTTAATCAGCGCGCGCAATCTCCAGAGTATGAATATTCACGTACCTCCTTCCTCTCCGCGATGTTACCTCTCTCTCTCTCTTTCTCGGTTAGAGGGTGTGTTCGACAAAACACAGAACCCGCGTGCTAACATTTATCGACGTGTATTTTGTTCTGTACCGTATCCGCGTTTCTGGTCCGTTCATTTACCTTCCCATTCGCCCTCACGGTTTTCTATTCGGCACGTATACATATAGATATATATATATACGGCTCGCAATCACAACCATGGTAACCAGGATTATAAATTTGTAATACGTGACGCGCGTAATTCGGAGTGTGTTTGGTAAAACGCGCGTGATTGCGCATTTTTTGCGCGCGAAATTTTCTCTTTTATTGTCGCGCGCGCGGTTCATACGATTTTATGTACTTTCGCGCGTGGCGGTGATATAAACCAACAAAATTATTTGCTCCTATCGCGCTTGAACGTTGTACAAAGCTCACGCGAAATAAAATAGCGAATATTAGCCTTCTAAACCACAAACGAGCGACACGAAAAACGGACGTTACGATCGAGTGTGATTTTCGTTGCGGTACCGATCATCGAATGTCTCGACGTGAAAAACAAAAAAAGCTTACCTTAATCTCTCCGCGAGCGTAATAAACGATAGAAGCGTTGCGCGTGGAATAAATCACAATTTCTCGACGCGAAGATGAAAAAAAAAAAAAAAGATCACGTCCGCGCCCATTCTGCGAGTTGCCTGCAACTCGCTTCTGTGGACCCAGCAAGTAGAGATTACAAAAGAAAAAAAAAAAAAAGAGAATAAGAAAAAAATACAACTTTGTCGCGTACGCTTCCATGGCTTTGGAAAAGCTCATCCTCTTAGTGCTTCGTTAAATATTCACGAGAATCTCCGTTTAAGCGTTGCGTTACTCCGAGAGAGTCGCGCGCCGAGAGTCCCCCGCCGTGTTGGCTCCTTCCCCGGCTTCTCATCGTCTGGCGACGATGCCGTCTCCGGGGAACGTGTCGCCATCGCGACCTTCGAGACAAAGGGCTCGTTAAGATCTCCCACCGTCAAAATCAGCGTACCGAGTCGAGAGAGTCCTCCGGTTTCTATTAATGTAACTCCCGCGAATATACGCTCGTCGGATCGTTGAGCATTGTCTTTACAAGTCTCGGGGAAACGTCTTATATTTTTTTTATCGTTTTGCAGAACGCAAATGGACGAGACTGCATTCAAATCATTATCTTGATATTCAAAACAAAGAACACACATAATTAAGGAATACGTTTTTTTTTCTTTTTTTTTTTTTTTTTTTTTTTTTTTATTGTGTTTATTAATTATTTTCATTTACAAAACTTCATTGCTGCGATCGGGGAATCGTCGGACTCCCGCGCGCGCGTGTTCGTCGGCGTTCTGAAAAGTAATATCCTCCGAATTCTGTTTCTTGAGATTATCTGTGTCTCGATCGGTCCAATTACCGGTGCGAATGCCCGTGCGGAAGTCGGCGATGCCCACGGAACTGAGAAACGTGTTAAACTTGGACAAGACGCTATCGCGAGCGGACGGCAGCACGTCGATATATCTGTTAGCTATCGATATGTCGTGATACGGCAGCGGCTCCTGCCATTTATTGGGTCGGAAATGTTCGGGCTCGACGCCGTAATCGTTGTAATCGACATAATCTCCGTTTCGTTTCACTATGACGTTCCAGGGCCCGTAGAAACGGTGAACACCGAAGTTTCTCCAGATTTTACGCTCTACATCAACACATGTTGCAAATATCTTTTTTTTTATTTTAAATGAAAAATTGATGGAAATTTTTATTCTCGAAATTATTTTTTTTTTTCAAAGAGAAGTTTTGACAATTGCATTAATATTTTTTATATTTTTAATTTATTATATTAATAGTTTTGTGTTAGTTTTTACGAAGTTAATTTCGTTTTCTTCAAGAGAGATGTTGCTTTTTGAACGTTTTCCGAACCGAAAGTTTTTTTTGTCTCACCTTCTTTGAAGTCTCTCGTAAGTGCGGACGTCACTTCGATCGTCGCCACCAGAACGAGAACGAATCGGAAGAGCCACCGATGAATCATTGATAATCGACACTACGTCGTCTCTCGGTTTATAACTGACACTGACGTTTATCCACTTCGCACGTTCGCTTATATATATGGTTGCTGCGATGGTTTGATGTAGGCAAATATTTGTGTCGCGAAGTGTCATCTCGCAGCAGTTGTAGTCTCCGGGAAACTAATTCGACTAATTGTTGTTTGTTTACTTTTCTAGATATGATCCTCTTTTGAATCAATACAGAAGACGCGAATCTTCGACGCTGCTCGATATTTTTAGCGGGACGCGTAATCGCGAAACAATCTTAAAAATTCTTACGAGAACAATATCTTAAAAATTCTTCACGAAATTGCGGCAACAAAGGAACGTGCGAATTTGTGTGTTTTGTATAATTGTGTTTATGTATAAATACAAAGCGATGTGTACAACTTACACACTTAATTATGTATAGAAAATAATTTAAATCGTAAAAATATACTCGGAGCAAATATTAAATTAATTAGAGAGACGGTCTAGATACTAAATAACAAGCTAAGCAATAAGTTAGACAGCTATTCTAATTTGGGTTAGTGGAATCTTCTGTAGATCGTTTTTTCTCTCTCTCTCTCTCTCTCTCTCTCTCTCTCTCTTTTTCTCTCGTTAAATATGATCCGGCAACTTTCCCTCGATGGCGCCTCGTTTTTAACGACCCCAGCCAGCTCTGTGTTTAAAAGAAATAATGTTTTTTTTTATGTTAGTCACTTTTTTTTATTATTACACTCTCGTGTAACTTAAATTCTCGCTCTCTTCGCCCTCGTTTAAGAGTTTACATTTTTAGATATCCCGTTAAGAGCTACGCGCGTTTTAATTTTTCCGTCGCGGTTATTACGAGGTTATACAAAAACGGAGATACGAGAGATTTATTTGTATGGGTTTTACAAACAACACTGTTCTCTTTTTTTTTTCTTTTCGCCACAATTAATATTTTTTTTCCTCGCATTTACACGCGCGCTCAACAAATTACCTTGTTTTTCAGACGGTGCATTTTGGCGGCGAAGTTAACGTCTCTTTAAGTAATATTAATTGTATTCGTGGAAGAGGGGAGACTCGAGAGGTAATGCATAATCAATTTCAATTTCGCTTCTTACCCGACGTTAACGTAAGACACGGTTGACGGTTTTCGTTTCGTCTTTGAAATTTGACCTCCGTTAATAATGTCTCTCTCGTCGCTGCTGTCGTCGTAAACAGGTCGTCTGTACCAGAAGAATGGAAATCCATAATATACCGTGTCTCTGCCAACTAATCCCTCTCGACCGTCTGTAAGTGAAAAAATTGTGACATTTATTATTTGTGCGGTATTGTACATATTTCTGTCTACAGAAATTCTGTGAATACGTAGTTATGTTTAATTTGCATTACTAACCGCATACATATTTTTGTCTTCAGAAACACTTTCGTGAGTACACAGTGATGTTTAATTTGCATTGCTAACTGGATTTACTTAGCGAAAAGATTTCTCCAGAAAGAAAATGAAATTATTTAATTTTCTCGAGTCTTTCTGTGATTTTTTTTTCAAATTGTACAGAACTGCACAAAATTTTTTTACGTACAGCAGTTATATACATATATATATATATATATCAACGCGAAATATTTTACAAAAATTTTATGCACGTGTATATCGCATCTTGAAAGTTTTCGCGATTCGCGAAAAAAAAAAAACAAAATTTAAGTTTGTTCGGAAAGTTATTCTGCGATCTGTAAAGTTCGGAAAAATCGAATCGCGCAATTTGTGCGCGTTTTGTGAAAAAAAAAATAACTTGGATGTACCAACTTACCGTCAAATTGAGGAAACGGTCGGGCGTTAACGAAGGTAAGCACCGCGAAAACAATTGCAAAGTGCACCGCGTATCTCATTGTGTTGTACGTACGCGACTCACACTGGACATAAATCGTACTTAATGGGTACAGAACTTCGTTTGGATTGCGGCGCGCACTTCGCGTTTTCTTATATATACACTCGCGCTGCACGCCTTTGTTGTCTTTCTGTCGAATCAACACGTTAATTCAAAGAAATATCCCGACATATCCCGACTAATTACGATAACGAGATCGGTAAATGAGAGCGCGTTCTCTGACTAACTGACGGATTCGTCATCGTCTGTTCCGCACGCAAAATTTAAAAATCTAAACACACACGGAAAGGAATTTCGCACGTTTTTGTTGCCAAGCTACATTATCAATCGTTACTTCGTTGCTATTGGAATATTTTTCTGCGTTGTATGAAATACATCAAAGCTGTCGTAATTTTTCGTCCGGAACTATTTTGTTTATCAAAAATTGATATTTGGTTCCAAATTTAAAACAATTAAAATAAAAGAAAACCAATAAAAGTCCAAACGCCGCTGTTGATGTGTTATTTATTATTTACTAGCACAACACAAGTGCGATACGCGCACGTTATTATTATTTTCATTTTAACGTGTTGCGTAAGTGAACACAATTTGTCATCGCAATGACAGCTAATACGTCTTACAAACCATACAATATACAATAAATGATGTACATATGAAAGATGTTAGAAATAACTCGTGAAAATCACACTCGAAAAATAGTGAGGGAGGAGTGGAAAAACAACACGTGACTAAAGTCACGTGACTGTACTTTAGTCACGTGTTGTTTTTTCACTCCTCCCTGTCACGTGACTTTACTTTAGTCACGTTTTTAAAGGCACATAATTAAAATAAAAGTCACGTGACTTTAGTCACGTAGTGTTTTTCCTCTCTTCTCTGTCACGTGACTTTAAAAAACGCAAAAATATTTTGTTTTTTAGTGTTTTGTTCTGAAGCGATTAAAACTAAAACAAAAACTCGGTTCAGTCATTCTTGAAATATAGCTCCATGAAAATCTCACTTTTCAATCGCATGAATTTTGCTTGTAAGAAGCACTAGCCTCTTGATTTGTACGAGATGAATCGAGAAGCATATCCGAGAATTGTCCAACGCCGAGATAAAAGTAGCAATAATCAAGATCGAGAGAATTGATTGTGATTATTTACTCATGCTTTTTCTGGTAGGATATTGATGTAAACAACGTTTTGACCTAAAAATAAGGTCGGTATCAAGCAAAATTGAAATAAACCGGGAACGTTTTATTTTATCTCCGCAGTGGAACGTCTCGCACGTACGCTTGTTCAAGAAATAAGGCGCCGGATATGAAAACACTCGATTGTAAAACACGTGGATATTATAAATGAATTTTTTTAAATCGCCCACGTAATTTCCCAGAGGAACGGAAAACGCTCTTGCCTGTGTCAATTGTCGATGCTTTTTTGTTGTGTAGTCGCGCGAACCTACCAAATATCGATCGTTTCTCCGCCCTCTCCTGTGGAAACAGCGTCGTCTGAAGTACTTTAACGTCAAGACGAAGTCCCGGGACTCTCTCAACAATCGCTCTATCGGATTTGCCGGACTTAGCGTAAGCACGTTGTCCGCAAACGGAACCGGGAGGAGTTTCATCGAGTTTGCGCGTTCGGTTGACGCGGGACTTTTATTGGTCGCGCGCCCATTACCGCGGAATTGCGAGCGAGTCATTATGAGATATTAATTGTCCAACTTGCGCTCGTTAGTCGTTCAGCTTCGACTACCGTCTTAGAGTTTCCAAACGAGAACTTGACGTTTGTTTCTCTCTCTCTCTCTCTCTCTCACGAGACGGAGAATAAATGCACGACCTCGCGTCAGCCCGACGTTTCCCCGATGGATAACAAAAGATGGCCTATCGTTACCCTTGAAAAGTGGAAAGCATCGTTCGACCTTCAGCTTGATCCGGCACAGTGTCGCGATTACTAAGCGCTGATTATAGTCTCTCTCTCTTTCTCTCTCTGCTGCGAACATAGGCGAAAATTGAAAAAAAAAAAAAAAAGATCTTCAGGATGAAAAGAAAGAAGTTCGAAGCGCGATTGATACCGATCTTGGCACGTCCCTTATCTTTATCTCGCTCGTAAAACATCTTCTGCTTACCCGAGATTTAGAAGATTAATGATCAAGAAGAAATTCAACATTTGCTGCCACGCTTTATCTACAAAGTAATTATTGCGACGCGGAAATGTAACACGTATACAGATCGAAAAAGTGGCGTAATTTAATCATCGCAAAATTCAATGCGCGAAAGAAAAAGTAATTATTTTAATGTGGCACTTTATCACTGTCCAAGAAAAGTGTACTGCTCTCAGTCGCGCTTGACGCACGGTCGTAAATTTCGTGCGAGCGAATGCGCACAACTTTCTCGCTCGCGTAACTCATAATAATATGGTTATTATAACGATCAACGTCCCGTCTCGCTCGGAACTTTTATTGTTTTTCTTTATCTTGGCACGGAGTGTCACATAACCGTAAATGTATTTCTGACGAAGCGTTACGTGTTTTTGTTTTTTTTTTTTTTTTAATGGCAATCTGTAAGTAAAATGCGCACGATGTGTTTACGTCGCGCACGAGCGACGTGCGAGCACATTTACACAATTTTTTATTAACGCATAATACATCTCCGCAACTTTGACGAACTTGATTATCTCGACTGCGTGCGTGTGTGTTTTAATCTTTAATCTTTTAATAATTTTAATTTTCGTGTTAAAAGCGTCGCGCAACATTCAGAGTAAACTTTCCAAGCGGGGACTGCATTTGGATAATTTTATTGAAATTAGAATAAAAGCTTCTCGCGCACGGTGTTGGCAAAAACAAAAAAAAAAAAAATAATTCACGCTAATGATGATTAAGTTCCGTAATGGAGGTAATTACTTTTCATCAGTTTTTTTTTATATTGTTGTGACTCTGCTTCGTGTATGTATTTCGTTTATTAGACTTTTAGTCATTCGGCGACATGGAGACGTTTTACGAGGTAATTTGTTTCTTTTATTGTTTTCTGTTTGAACGAACGTCTGTTCACGTCTGTTTCACATTCATGTGTTTTCTGGAACCGATTGATGCAATTTAAGGGGAGATTGAAAATTCTTTCAAGGCCAATTTCTTTATCGCTAAACTTGGAGAATGGCACTTGGCGTCTCGACACTTCAAAAATCTGTTCCAGCTCATGGATATAAAGAGGGATCTTCTCTCTCTCTCTTTCTCTCTCTCTCTCTCTCTCTCTCTCTCTCTCTCTCTCTCTCTCTCTCTTTCTTTCAGTAACCGTAAAAAAAATCTTACGTCACACGAGGTTCTCGTGGCGACAAAAGGCGCCTTTGGCAATCGATTGTCGTTACAACGTTATAACTAGCACGTTAAAACAACAAACCACGTGTCTCTCCGCTTCAAAAATGTCAAGAAATTACTCTTTACGGGTTTTTTTTCGCGCCGCGCAAAAACCGCGATATAAAAACGTCGCTATCTCTTCCCTTGCGCGGATAAATGTTTATTCGAGGAAAAATACACGGAGAGAGACGGATAATGCACCGTCACGTACCGTGAATGGACAAATGTTGATTGAGTAGTTAAGATCTCCTGACACGTTTCCGGTTGCGGAAACCTCTCGCAACCGGGGACTGCGCGCGTACGTTGTTTGCGCGGGCGGCTTTTGTTGTTTTACGGAGCTGTGCGCGGCAGGTCGCTCATTCCTTCCTGTCTCTCGCATGTTGATCGTTGCGTATAACAGTATTCTTCCCTACGCGCGCAATAAAATCGAGTACGCAACGGTATTTTTTTTTTTTTTTTTTTTCGTTCTCGAGAAAACGAACGCCCGAAAAAGAAATAAAATTCATGTTATCGCCAGTTTCGATATTTTCGAAAGTGCGCTCGAAATAAATTTTGCAATTGCGTAAAAAGCGAAATGATATCTCGCTCGAATGACGAAGAGTTCTCGTGATGAGCTCTACTTCGCGAAAGCACGGATCATTGATCTCGGGGGAAGAAGTGATTCTTCACACCTCGCGGGCACCACTCGTCGAGATATCGCCGTTTGTCCGATAATTCTACCGAGGCGAGAATCGTGTCTCTCTCTCTCTCTCTCTCTTTCTCTTTCTCTCAATCTCCTTTCCGGTCTCTCTCGTACAAGATCCGTGTTCTTCTACCGTTTTTCGAAACTGCGTCGCAGTCCGATCACGTATATAACGCGGTTTCCTTCTTCGAGAGAAGTACCTCGGCGAGTTCCCAAGTGGCTCAGCCGGGGTATAATACTCTGTCCCGTAACCTCCTCTCGTATATTGACGAAGGAGATTTGCCGACGAGGTAAATCACTCGGTTGACGATGGTCTTTCGTCAATAGGGAATAGTCCGCTAAAAGAATCGGAGACAGAACGACGAATTTTCCGTTTCGCTGGTCGTTTGAAAAACGTCAATAACGTGCGAGTTTAGAGAAATTGTACAATATAATTAGAGAGATAATTTTTTCAGTGTTTTAACTCTGATCGATTAGATCGAAAGACCTTGTTCCAGGATTTCTTGGCGCATCGATCTTATGTGTGCGTTAAATATATATTTATCCCCGTAAACGAGAGAGAGAGGATGACCATCGACTCGGATGTCCCATGACCTTACCACTTGGTTTCACTCGGGATACCACGCGGGATCGGTCTATTTGCGTCATCGTAGACGACGATCGGACGACGTTCGTACAGGTTGGCCATCGGGGCACGTCACCGTCATCGTCGGCGCACAATCCGATCATTCGCCGGTCGACTGGTCACAGAGTGAAAGAAAGAGAGAGCGAGTTCACTTTGTTCATGAAGGGAATAGTTCAACGCGTTTAAATGTCGGCGAGCGAGCGTTGCGCGATAATGGTGTTAGTATGTGTGTGTATGTATGTGTGTTGCCTGAAACGACGGAAGCCCAGCAAGGCGTGGTGCCGTCAGCACGTTTCAGTCCGATGTAAACACGAAGCCCAGGTCGGGCTCCAGTGCACCCGGCACCGTTGACGAGAACGGCCACGCGCGAATTTCATAGCGGTTATCCTTTCGTTGCCGATCGTCCGCCGTCCGCTT